GCTTTTCAAACTTTCGAAACAGAGTTATGTACTCGCTATCATCGATATTTCTAGTGGAGCACAGTACGTCTACAACTTGAGAACTAATGGAAGAAAGAGTGCTATGATCATCTTGGGTGACCTGTTGGTTGATTTAGAATTCATTGTTTCATTTATCTCGTTTAAGAACTTCTGGAATTGACAGCGCCGTCGACTCAATGAATACTTTGAAAGCAGCTGGTTTTTCAGTTTTCACCATTTCTGATTCACCTGATTTNTGAATACTTTGAAAGCAGCTGGTTTTTCAGTTTTCACCATTTCTGATTCACCTGATTTCACTAAGCTTGCAACTAACAGTAGCTACTACTTTCCGTTTGCTCAAGATCCAACTGGTATCGCCCAAACGATAGCGGACAGTTTCTGTGAGTTTGAAACTATCAAGACGAGAACTTTGTTTTTCTAGGCACCCCCAATCCATGCTACTCAACGACTCCGCAAATGACGACCGGCAGTCAAACAACTCCTCAAACTTCAGCAGTTCCATCTCCATCCACAACCGTCCAATCATCAACTGCCGGCACGACACCAACAAAAGCTCAAACTTCTACTTTGGGAAGAACAGCAACTACAGGACAAACTTCTACTTTGGGAACAACAGCAACTACGGCTCAAACTTCCACGATAGGAACATCGCCAACTATAGTTCAAACTTCCACAGCAACTACAAGTGCAGCTATGCAGAGTTCTTCTATTTCCTCGACGGCTCAGGTGTGTGAGGTGATCTTGACACTTATTAATCGTTTTAGACATCTACCCAACCCATCCCAACCACCACAGATTGTCCACCTATTCTCTGTGAAGGAGACATTGCCGTGAGTTACGAACTCTTGAAGTCTTCAAGCCCAACGGTACTTTGATGTTTCCATTTTTTAACTCTTTTTCTTCTCGACAGTATTTGAATCGGTTATCATTGACTCTCAATACACTTTTCTCTTTCCCTTCAAATCCGTACCAAGTGAATGGAAGAACAACACGTGTAATGCTAGTTCCTTATCCTACCCCAGGCAGTTACAGTCCNATTACTTGGCTGAACCAAAACTACAGTAAAACTAAAGTCGATGGAGCACCAATGATCTCTGAGTAAGTTATCCTGCGATAATCTCAATATGATTTTTTTGAACCTTTTGAAAAGTTTATTCTCACCTTGAACTTGTCTTGACCCATGCTTTTCAAACTCTCGAAACAGAGTTATGTACTCGCTATCATCGATATTTCTAGTGGAGCACAGTACGTCTACAACTTGAGAGCTAATGGAAGAAAGAGTGCGATGATCATCTTGGGTG